GTTGAGTGGTTCTTCTCCAGATTCAGAATTTCAACATATCATGATGAATCCATTTACGAGATGCATTGCAAGAATATGGCCAGTCAGAAAGAGGCTACCGTTAAGAATCCTTGCTTGTCAGGGAACGATCTACTTCAAACGAAGCCTACTTCCTCGCCCCTCACTCTTCCTGGGAATAAAAGGCAAAAGAAAAAGAAGCCTACAATCTCAACAACATCAAACATCAACTCTCTTTCGGGCACATTAGATGGGAATATCAACTTTTTGCCATGTAACTTATCAGTGAAAGCGTCTGAAGCAATGGCCCTGGACGCACTTAACGGGAAACAAACCCATCAGGAGACTAAAGAAGCTACTAACATACCAGATTTAAATGGAAATGGTGCTATAACTCCAAGCTCATTTGTTGCAAACGAAAATAAGGCAAGCTCCGGCTCGGTTTTGTTAGATTTTCAAGCGGTTGGCCCACATTCCGAGAAAACAGTTGCTGAACAAAGTAACAGAGAGGGACTAAATGTTGTTCTTCCTGATTCTGGTGCAACCATTCCGCCTCTAACAATACCAAACATGGTTTCATTTGCATCTGAAAGTAAGCCAGGTCAGAAGAAGAGAAGAAGGAAGCCTAAAGCACAATCTGGCCTTCCGAGCCCTATGCCCTCTTCAAACATACCCGATCTAAACGGAACTGACGCAGAACCCAACACGTCAATAAAAGATTTGCAGGAGGCTAACGGTGTTCCGCCTGCAGAAAAACCCGCTCGGAAGAGGAGGAGAAAGAAAGGAGATATTATTTTAGGCACAACAAATATGATTTTAAGTTATAATGGAGCAGGGGCAATTGGGAACGCCCCTGCAACCACTCTTCTCTTGACATTCACCCTGGTGCTTCCATGCCTTCAAAAGAAGTTTTGGTTGCAACATTTTCCAGGTTTGGACCCTTGAAGGAATCAGAGCTTCAGATATTAAAAGATTCTAGTAGTGCCCGGGTTATCTTTATGCGAAATGACGATGCTGCCAAAGCATTGCGGAGTTTAGAGGAGAGCAATCCTTTCAGTGCAACCCTTACAAAATATCACCTTCAGAATGACTCCACCATAACTACTAAACGCACGGAGGGATTCCGATTGCCTGCAAATCTTACTGGTCTGGTGTTGGTTCCTTGCCTGGGGGATGCACCTCCTAATATTGATTTTATGAGGAAGAATCTTGTGATGATGACATCAATGCTTGAGAAATCTGGCGATGATCTGCCTCCGGAGACGAAGGCAAAGCTCGAGAACGAGATTAAGGGACTACTGAAGAAGGTCAGTTCTTGTCCTGGTTCCTCTATGTAATTAGAACTGTAGTATCTGACGAATTTTCCTATTGGAAGACACATTTAAGGTACCTGATTTCCATTTTAGGTCAGAATCTTCGTTTCTTTTATTAACGAGGAGTTGTTCAATAAAAAAAACCTTTGCACTTGGTGGGATTTTAACATAAATCCTAGATGTTAGCTTTGCCTGGTAATTTAGGTACTTTTCATTTGTTTATCTTAAATTCCCTGCAAAATATCTAAAATTGGGATCAAATTTCTAAATAATTTTCTAAATTTAAATAGAAAATAATAATAATAAATCCCAACATAGAAGAAATAAAAGGTTTGTATTACTACATAATAATAGGTGTCCCAAACCTAAATCTTTGCATGCTTAAACAGTGTCAGCTTGCACAGCCTACAACACCATTTCAGACTTTCAGTTACCAAAAACTTGCACTAAAAACAGATTAACAAAACAAAACGATGTTCGAGAATGAATCTTTTCTCAAATGATTTCAATCCATTTTCGCTTCAGGCCCCTCGGCCATTTCCGTTGCAGAAAACCACCCACTGTCTCGGACATTTGGTTTTATCATTGCTGAGCGCACTGTACCCTCTGTGCACCACCATGCATGTCCTCATCTTCCTCGTAGGCCTCTTGAGCTTGTGCGTGTTTCCTACGCTTCTCTTCCTCCATGTTAACATCGTGCAGAGTTGTTTCCTCACACTCGTCCAGCTCCATGTCAGTTAGCTGGACCGATGACCTTGGAGGTAGTACAGCCTCTAGAGCCTTGCACTGGTCTGGAGTCAAGGTATCGGGGAAATCAACGGTGAAGTGAATGTAAAGTTTACCTCTCATAAATGGCCTCTGATAAATTGGCATCCCTTCATCGTTTATTGCTTTGTATTGATCTACATTAAACCAAGAGAAATCGGCAATCATATTAGGTACAGCTAGAATAGCCCTTGTAAATATAAATATCGACTAACAGATATTACAAAGGTCAATAGCAAGCCAATTATACATGAAGAGGGTTCATTGTAAATCAACAAGATCAACGACCAATAACACAACTGTTAAATTAACCAAGCTGTAAGGACATTTATCATTTAAGGACAAGAAAACTCCTCACTTACCAGGCTTAACGACTTCCCCGGGCTGTGTTTTAATTAGGAGTTGTCTGCCATCTAAATGAGTCATTATGAACTGAAAGCCACAAAGGGCCTCTGTAAGTGTCAATGAATGCTCGAGAAATAAGTCATCACCCTTTCTTTTAAGTTTTGGATGATCTTTCTGTTGTAGGATAAATACGATGTCCCCAGTGACTGTATCGGGCTGCGAAAAAGAAAAATCCCACAGTCAACCAAGTTAGCAACAGCTAGAAAGCAGCGGATTCGTTACAAAAATGCAATCTTATTTAAGATATAAATTAGCCTTACTGCTTCATCAGCTTCTCCCGAGAAAGTAATCTTTTGTCCATTCTGCATACCCTTCTCAGCAATAACCTCCAAGACTTTCTTCTCTTGCACAACCTTATCACCTTTGCATTGTGGGCAACGATCCTTGTCGTTGATGGTCTCACCAGTACCCTTACACTCACCGCAGGGATGCTGCATTTGTTGGATCATCCCGGGACCAATCTGTCGGATGGAGACTTTCATTCCAGAACCTTGACAACCAGAACATTTTGTTGATGCACCTGATTTAGATCCTTTACTGCAAAATTTTCATGTAAAACAATTTCCGTAAACATAGAACAACGATTGAGGCTGTCCAACCACCAGCGATACCACAACATCAACTCAATTCAAACACTAACCCCTTGCACTTGGAGCAAATTACGTTACGTGAAAGAGAGAGCTTGTTCGACATCCCGTTGTAAAGATCTTCCAAAGATACTTTGAGCGGATGGATTACATCCTCTCCCCTTCTTTGTCTTCGGCCCCTGCTGCTTCCACCAGCTGCACAGGTAACACAGTTTTAGGCTTCAAGTGATTAAAACCCAACACATTCCAATAACCGAAAATGTATTAAACAAGTTCTAACTCAAAATCATACCACCAAAAGGATTGCCACCAAAGAATGACTGGAAGATATCGAACGGGTCATGGCCGCCGCCACCACCGCCCATTCCTTCTTTAAGGGCGTCCTCACCATACTGATCGTAAATCTCACGCTTCTCCGGATCGCTCAGCACCTCATAAGCTTGAGCCAGCTCTTTAAACTGAATTCCAAAACACAATGCATAATGCATATAATCAGACAAAGCTAATCTCTACACAGCCGAAAACAACACATAATCCAACAAACCCTAAAACCCAAAATTCTCAACCCCAATCATAATTCGAAAAAGCACATAATCAATCGAAAAAACACAAACTTTTTCAGGATCGCCGCCCTTATCGGGATGATTCTTAATAGCAGCTTTTCTGTAAGCCTTCTTTAGATCATCTTGGGAAGCATTTTTCGATACTCCCAATATCTCATAGTATTTTGTGTTATCGCTCTTCTTTGGCGCTCTCCCAAACATCTTTCTCTTGCTATTTTTATCAGATCAGATCAAATCCTAAAAAGGAAAATAATAAATACCCAGAAAAATTCAGATCAAAAGAAAGAAAATCAGAGATTTTTCAAAATAAAAATACTAACAGATCTTGAAACCGTGAGTCGGTAAGTATGAGGCGCGAGAGAAGCTTTGAGCGTTGACACGAGACAGCTAGTGAAAGTGGAAGGGATGAATGAGAGGCGAGAGATTGAGTTATAGGGAAGAAAATGACGGTTGAGATCTAAAGATTAAATGCTTTGAGAGTTTGATGAAAAGAAAAAGAATGGACGGAATATATGTTCCAAGTCCTTGTATTATTTGTGTATGTTAAATATAGTCCTCATGATTTTGATATAATAATTCTAGTCCCTAAAATATTCACACTAGAGTTTAGTGACATTTTTTTACATTAGTAAATCGTGTTTGTTAGATTCATGACTATAGAGTATTATTTTATTAAGTATTTGAACAATAAAAAGTTACGAAATAATCCTCCAACAATAGAGTATTATTTTGTTGAGTCTCTCAATTATTAAAAGTTACAAAATGATCACTAAATTATTCATTATGTTCCAAATTTGTTCTTTTTTGTAGTCTCTCCACTATTAAAAGTTACAAAAGTTAACTTGTTGATTGTGTTATTATGAAATATGATCCCAGAATTTCAAACAATTATCATAACATGGTCATCATGTTAACGTTTAACTTAGACAATCGTTATTTTTTTTAACAAAAAGAACGAGTTTGAAACATAATGAATAATTGGATGATCATTTTGTAACTTCTAATAGTCGAAGGACTTAACAAAACAACATTCAATAGTCGATGATCATTTTATATCACTTAATTTTAGTAGTACATCATTGAGATGCCTCTATTCATGCTAAAGATGATAACATTTTAAAAAAATTGCCATTTTGATATTAGACTAGGTCTCTTAAACAATGTTAAGAGTCTGAAACCTGACGTTTACAAATGGAGTAAACTGGGTTAGGAGGGTCATCCTCGCCTCTGCAAAACATATCCGGATTAATCGATTAATAAATTGAATACCGATAATCATACCAAAAAAATAAGAAAATAAAAAAATGTCCAGTGCACATTAATTTTCATTCAAAAGTTTGAGGGCGTCATATACCATTAAACCATAAAATTCCTCTTTCAAGTGACAAAATTCTTCGTTCTTCCGTGTTTGCATTAACAAAGGAATGTCGAAATGTCACAATACGAAGATGAACAGCTCTCAAATGAAGAAGACTATAGCTTTATATTGTTCTGAATTGGCCTCGAGTGAGCCGATTTCGCTGGATAAGATCGCCGGCGGAATAAAGGTTCTAATTTTATAGCCTAATTGTTCAACACATGTAAACTCATGCAAAATCACTAGTTAGTGATTATACAGTACCTTGTTATTTGTCAAGTATGTTCTGTATATGACCTCTGATAATCTCTGCAACGATTTCCGGCGAAAAACTAGTGACCATGTCCTTCCTTGCTCGCCTACCTTTCGCCCTGGCCTCCTCCACATTACTGATCACTTGCCTCATAAGTGCTCCAAGCTCCGTAACTGACGGTTCAGCCCACAAGTGCCCTTTAAACGGTCCTTCTGTTACCTCACTCATTCTTTCCACCGGCAACGGATAACTATTCTCTGCCGTGATATACTCGGTAGGCCCTGACCAATTAGTTGTTATTACTGGCAACGACATCGCCATCGCTTCGACAATAGGCCTTCCCCAGCCTTCACCCCTTGATGAAAGAACAAACGCATCAGCGGCCTTGTATAGTCGGGGCAAATCGGTTTGAGCTATATGAGTATCAATGACATACACTGGAGCCCACCCGCTAACCGGCTTTTCGATATTGGAATCTTCCACAAACTCGACAATCTTGTTGTCGAAATCACGACCAGAATGATAAGGATTAGTCAATAAGTACAAAGCCACCCCATCATCCTTGGAGAATTCTTTCAAGTACGCTTTGAGCAACACGTCCCATCCTTTCCTAAACTCCCATTTAAAGACACTCAAGAACACAAACTCCTTTTGAGGACTCGAATCGGGTTTTTCGGCACCTAAAACCAGATTCCCTACGGCAGCAATATCCAACGGTTCATACTTCGACGGATCAAAGAACCTCACATCAATAGGCTGCACAACTTTCACAACCTTAGATTGATCAACCCCACTTTGCACAAATGTAGACACATGAAACTCAGTAGGAACCCAAACCGAATCCATTCTATTACACCGCCTTACATGTTCCGAATTCAATCTATCCGTCTCAAACATCGTCCTACCAATAACGTACTTGAAATCACGATAACTGGTTGGAGGGCAAGGAAGGGTATCAAACAATGGGGGATACCAAGCACCAGGCTCACTATGGCAAACCACAATGGTCTCATCTTTCCTACATCCAGTTTGGTGCAGCTCATTTGCCAAATCCCTTACATCTTGGGGCAACCCCTCCCAAAACTCTAGGGACTCCAAGTCTCCATGCTGATAAATACCCAATTTGAAGCTCGGGTTTTCGAGATTTTTCATGTATCCATTGAGTGATAAAACATAAGACCATGCTTCTGAACTATACCCACCACCAGAAAGGAATGGAGCCATCCATAGAACACAATTAGAGGGACTCGAAATGGGATTTAACCATCGGGAATTGTTGGGTTTTGGGGTTTTTTGCACAAATGCCAAAAATGATTGGAAAAAAGTTTGGTAATCGTAAGAAGCGAGACTTGATTTCAGGAGAAGGATTTTGTAGTAATTTGTTCTGCTAAAACTAAAAGAGATTGCTAAGAACATAACAAAAACAGATGAAAAAATAACGAAGGATTTCAAATATGGGGCCATTTTCATGGAGTGAATTTACATTTAGCAAAATCTATAAACCTAATTCTTAATGATACTAATGAGATAAAAAGAAATGCAGCAAAAGCATGAAAATGGATCAACAAGAGTACCTGAAACTGGGTTTAGTCGCCAGGATTCAATGAAATTTGCTGCAATTGGATGCGTCGGGTTGGATCTATCTATCGACTTCCATTAATAAAAGTATAGGGTAAACTACGCTACCAGCCCCTTAACTTGAATTACAATCACTAAAAATTAATTCGTTTTCTTAAGGCCATTGCCGTCAACTGCCGTTAAGAAATGTTGACACGTCGTTGCAAAATTGACAATCGTTGCAAAAGGTTGAGCTTTCGATGAGTGGAGTGGTCGTTGGTCAATCTAGTGGTTGAAAGTGAAGGATTGAAAAGTTCTAACTTTTAGTTTCGATTGAAATTTAAGGAGACTATAAATTTTTCCGACGAGATTGAATTGAAGGGAAAAAAAGAATATTTGTTTGATGATATTTTCGATCGAAGAAATCACCAAAAAATGATATAAGCAATAACGAAAGGGGATAACAGTCCAATCAAAACAAAAGGATAAAAAAAATTTGGTTCTTCATTACTAACCATCAAATCAGATTAAAACAAAACTATATTAATCTTCTAACCAAACGAAACCTTTCTATTATTGGGATTGACCGACGATAACTTTGTTCATCGAAAACTTGTCATTTTGCAACGAATGCCAATTTTGGAAAACTAAGAGGGTTGGGAAAGAAAGCTTAACGTGCCATGTCAACGTTTCTTAACATCAACTAACGGTAGTGATCAAAATAAAAATAAATTAGATTTTACTAATGATAATGTAAGGTTTAAAAGTTTAATAACCATTTTACAAAAATCCTAAACATTAAGGACTACCAATGCAGTTTATGCAAAAGTTTACTTGGACTATAACTTTTAGATAAAGGGTAAAATTCCTTGGAGGTCATTAAACTATGGAGTTATTTCTATTTTGACAATTGAACGAAACAAATTATCAATTAAATCAGTAAACTTTTAATTTGGTTGCAATCAAACCATCACTCATTAACCATTAACGAAATTGTTAACATAACGGTTAAATAAAACTTGTACAATAAAATATTTGATCCTCATTATTTATATATTCTATTAATTTAATAACAGTTGAGGTAATAACATATTTGATCCTCGTTACTTACATATTATAATACCCTAATTTTATCCAGGTAATTTGAATCAAATCAAGGGTGATTAGAGATTGATTGGAAGAAGCTCGTACATTGACGTCAAATTTATTCAAGTGGTTGGTGGTAGGGCAGAGCAAGGAAACCGAGAAAATCCAGAAACCGACACGAACCGAGTAAAATGGTTCGGTTCGAGTTTACCTTTAAACTGTTATGTTTTGGGTTGATTTAAAGAATCAATTCTATTGATTCAGTTCGATTCGGGTTTTCCATATAGAACCCACTTGTTCCATATTGAACCGAATAGACAATTTTTTTTTTGAATTTATAGTTTCAAATGAATTTTTCATTGAAAAACCGACGAATCGAACCGAAAAAATCGATATCACATAATTCGGTTTTTTAACTATTCGGTTTCAGTTTCGATTTAAATTTTAAAAAATCGTTTATTTCGGTTCAATTCAATTTTTAATAAAAAACCGAACAGAACCGAACCGAATACACCCCTAGTTAGTGGCATGAGTGGGAAATAGTTCAGTGGGGGGCCTTAAGAATTTTGGAACGTTTTCGTGTACTGTTAACCTTTTTCATTTAAGCCAAATATCCATCAAACCAAAAATTAAATGTTTGAGAGTCCAATTACATTTCTCAAGTCCAATGCATTTACCTTACATACCCTTTCCCATATCAAATCCAAATTGTAACTCATCCTGTCCAAGCCAAGTCCCAAACAAATTGAACCCAAATAATAGAGCCCATCTACATTTAACCCAAAACCACTAAACCTAACCCGACCCAAAGTAATTAACAGAAACCCTAACTAGAGTCGTCGCCCAAAGCTTTTCTAGAATTTCCATCACTACGACAATGTATAAACGACTTATAGTCTCACTCTCTAAAGTGTTGGCCAAGCTATTATAACGTCTTTTTTGACGAACGAATGAGTTTTCAATAAAAACCTCGAATTTACGACTTATTTAGGAACAATCAAAATTTTCTGTTTTTTTAATTAAATTGAGTAGGAGTCGCCATCGACTTTTGGATTAAGTAGGTCGAGTATCCAAAAACGTCATTTATAACAATTTTAAGAAAAATCGTTTTTAAGGAAAAAAAATTGGTCTACGTTATCAAATATTCATTCTAGGTTTGGGAGTTGATTACGCGTAGGGAATGGTTAGCACCCCTACAATGCCAAAATTATGATCCATTTATTGAACATTCCATATTTTGAGAAGAGATCACGGTATTTGCACTCCAACTACTAGGAATGTTATCTCATCTATTTCTTCTCTATAAAAGAATGCACTCTCTTTATTCATGGGAATAAAATAGAATAAACATAAAATAAAATGCAATAATTAAAGGACTGACATTAAATAAATAAAAAGTAAAGGACAAAATTTTAAATGTGCATAAAACTAAATAACAAAAAAAATAACAATACAAATAAAATATTAGTGTTAATTTTTAATATTTAACCCATACCGTAAATAATGTGAGTCGTATCCGGGGCGAGTCGTCGCAATGTCATACTATGGTTAGAACATAAAATAAATAAATAAATAAATAAATAATAAGTTAGCGGTTAGATGTTAATAGATTCCGGACCATAATAATGTGGATCATACCCCGGATCGGGTCACCACAAGATCGATTCGAATAATAACAATAAATAAATAAATGTAACAATGGTTAAAGTGCAAGAAAATAAAAATCAGTGCTTAATTCGAAATAAAAAAAATAAAAGTATAATTAAATGATTAAATTAAAATGAAATTAAACAAAGTGTCAAAATCATAACAAATAAAACAAGATAATAAATAAAAGAGAGTGCTTATTTAAAAATCTTCGGTCAAAAAGAGCAAAAGTAAAAGGGATGGATTACCTTACCCTTACAATTAAACACAGCACAATACTTTAACAAATATTGCATATATACCTTACTTGTCAAGAAATTTGGTAAGACGGCTTCTTCATAATCGTATAATTAATCACTTATGCATTATAATCTCGTAATTATTTTTAAAAATCATATAATTATGATTATATTTATTAAATTTCTTTGTTAATTACTCTTTAAGATATTTGTAAATTTACACTTTAAGATATTTGTAATTATAATTGATTTTTTTAAAAGGGTCAAGAGTCCTAGCAAAAAGGAAATGGGTTATCCTTGCAAATAAGCAAAGCACAATGCTTTAACCAAAGAGAAGAGTGAATCTTTAGGATACTTTAGCTTTCAATTAAAGTCACTCTTGTTTGTACCTTACTTGCCAAGATTAATGTTAGAAATACTTTTTTTAAAGAAATCCCTATTTATTGTTAGAACATCTAGTCATCATTCACTGCCATCTCATTCATTACTCATTGAACACAAATGGAGATGGAGAAGAAGAGAGAGATTAAGCATCGTTTTCATGAGCACCCCTTGGTGTTTGTGGAAGATCAAAGCAATGAAGGCGAGAAAGCTTACTGCTCAGCCTGTGGGGATGTGATTTCAGATCCATGCTTTAGTTGTGCACCCTGCAATTATCACCTTCATAACAACTGTGCCCTCGCACCCGAAACAATTTCCAGTCACCCTCTCCATCCCCAGCACTCTGGTTTTTTCCTTCAAGAAAGGCCACGTCCTGGTGATCTGGTATATGGTTGTGCATTATGCAAGGAGAAACGTAACATGTTCTTTTATGAATGTAATAATTGTTACTTTTCCCTTGACATCAAATGTGCTAATTTGTCTTCTTCATTTAGTAAGGTCAACCAAGAGTCCAAACATGACTTCCACCCACATCCATTGACCTTCATTCCAAGTCCCATGGATGGATTCAAAAGCTTGTATTGCTCTTGTTGCCATGAACCCTTGGTTGGTGCATTATATATTTGTCTTGTTTGTCCTCTCATCTTTCATAAGACATGCATTGATGGATCCAAAAAATTTAAACACCCTTCCCATCGCATACACCCTCTTTTTCTTGATCCCAATGAGAATCCTCTCTTTTGCAAACTATGCCAAAAGAAACATCATGGATTCTTTTATTGTTGTTCTGTTTGCGATTTTAAGATCAATATTTTATGTGATCGGTCTAAGTCCATTGTTGAAGATAAAAGCCGCCATGAGCACCCATTTACCTTACTTTGGAGGCAAGACTCGTTCATTTGCGATGCATGTGGTACTGAGGGAAACTATATGTCTTATATATGTTCGACATGCAGCATCACAGTCCATAAAGACTGCACTTCACTCCCACGCATTATCAAATTTTCACGACATGATCACTGTCTATTTCACAAATATTTTCTTGAAACTCAAGAGCTTACAACAAAGGATTGTAAGATTTGTTTCAATGAATTGAAGCTTGAGCGTGGGAGTTACTCTTGTGTGAAGTCCGGTTGCAATTACATTGTTCACGTGAATTGTGCCTTGGAGGATGACAGATTTTACGAGGTGGTTGAGCGAGAAAGCCAATGGGAGGAGCTCTATGGAAGTTCAGCTGAGTCTACGCAGTCTTCCATCACTCGCGTTGTTGAGGTGAGTGAAGATGGGGAAGCCACAAAGATTGAACATTTCAGCCATGAAGGTCATTGCTTGGTGTTAGCAGACAAGATGGAGGAGGAAACTGATAGAAGATGTGATGGGTGCATGCTACCTGTCTCAACTCTGTTTTATTATTGTTCTGAATCAGAATGCCATTTCTATCTCCACAAAAACTGTGCCGAGCTGCCAAGAGTAAAGCATCATTGGTTTCGTCAATCTCCAGCCACTCTCGACTCCACAAGCTTCATGTGGTGTGACTTGTGCAAACGACCTTGTAGCGGTTTCTTCTACGAAATCGAAGGATATTTAGAAGTTTGCTTAAGGTGTGCTGACGTACCTGACGTGATTGAATTTCAAGGACACGAGCACTTGCTGTTTTATGATTTCAAATGCAGGGAGCGATGCAATGGTTGTGGCGCTGACCCAGGTGAAGAAGGTGCATTCAGATGTGGAAAGTGCAGTTTTACTTTGGATTTCAAATGCTTATCATTACCACAATCAGTTGTTCACAAAATTGATGAACATCAGCTAAACCTCACCTATCACGATGATAATGATTATTCAAAGCATCTTCGTTGTGATATATGTGAAGGAAAAAGAGACCGGAGCCTCTGGTATTATTGTTGTTCGATCTGTGATACTTCTGCTCATCCCGATTGTATTCTTGGAGAATTTCCATTTCTCAAGGATGGGATCACATTGTCTCCTCGTTATGGTCACAGACATCATCATGATGTTCGGTTTCTTAGGAAGGCTGAGGACCACCCTAGCTGCTCGTTTTGCGGTCAGCGTTGCCGAAGAGAAATTCTCAAGTGTACTGAGTCTACGTGCAACTATATTGCTCACTTCGAATGTCGGTGGGGTAGACTCTTCTAAAATGTCTGCAGCGTAAGTTGTTCAGATAATTATAGAGCCATTGCTATGGTTGATTGCTGAGATGGTGTTGTCTTATTTGCATCCATTGACATTAACTTCAATGGTGTTGATGATTGTAGATGTGTTTGGCTCAAAATGGAAGGTTTAGAGGAATTCAAAGGATTTCGCATTTCGTTCCTACTGCTTCGAGGGCTGGAAAACTTTGAGTGAGCTTTATCTATGAGTGTTATTAGTGTGTGATTAATGGATTTGTGGGATTATGTTTGAATGTCAATTTATTTGGATTTGATTTGAATGTCAATTTAAGAATATTTCTTACACAGTTTTTATTACACATTCAACCCGCAAAGTAATTTATAAATGAATGTTAATGATGGGCACAACATACTTAAGGGTAAAGTTTGCATTTAGTACCTAAAATATTAATTTTAGTTTGTTTTAGTATCTAAACTTTAATTTTTTTTTCAAAATCATACCTAACGTTTAATTTTTGTTTCATTTAGTATCTCACTGTTAAAAACTTAACGCGTTTAGTACCCAAACTATCAAATTTACTCCGTTTTAGTACCTAAACTTTTAATATATTTTTTTCAAAAGTTAACGTTAAATTTTGAATGTGGTATTAAAATGAAACAAAAAACTAAACTTTAGGTATGGTTTCAAGAAGTTAAAAATTTAGGTACTTTAAAAACTAAAACTGATAATTTAATATTAAATGTGTAATCTACCCATATAAAATATATGGATCAAATAATAAACATTTATGTATATATCTATAACTCGAATAGAAAGTAGGGGTGAGCAAAACTTGACTCGTCTCGAAAAATCGAATTTCTTTTTCCAATTTTCAGTTATTCGAGTCAACTCGAATTATCAATTCGGTTTTCGAGTTCGAGTCGATTTGAAATTTTGAAATTTCGAGTTACTCAAAAAACTGAAAAATTGCATAAGTATTTTGATTGTTTTACGATTTAGTCCTTCATTTCATTATTCCTTCAATTCATCCTTCATTTTAAGTCCATTTTCATCAATTTGAACCACATGCTCCTAAACCATCGTAGAATACATATGCACTTTCAATTCATCTTTTTTTTTATAACAAATTATCTATATTCAATTCAGTCCCTCATTTTTTTATAATTTCGTTATTTCAGTTCATCATTTATTTTAAGTATATTTTTACCAAATTTGAACCACATGCTCATATACCACAATAAGATACATATGTAACTTCAATTCTCACTTTTTTTACTAAAAATGTACTCTCTTTTTTTATTTAGTCCCTTAACTATACATTTTACTCAATTTGGTCTTTTGACTACAATTGTTTGCAAATTCTTTCTTCCCATCGATTCCTTGACTCCTATACTCTCTTTTTTTATGTAACTTCAATTGCTTGGTGTTAGCAGACAAGATGGAGGAGGAGGAAACTGATAGAAGATGTGATGGGTGCATGCTACCCGTCTCAACTCTGTTTTATTATTGTTCTGAATCAGAATGCCATTTCTATCTTCACAAAAACTGAGCTGAGCTGCCAAGAGTAAAGGGTCATTGGATTAATCGAGGGACTGCCAATCTCTACTCCACAAGCTTCAGCTTCTGTGACTTGTGCCATCGAACTTGTAGTGGTTTCTTATACAAAAACTTGTGCTAAAGTTGCTGATATCATTGAATTTCAAGGACATCAACACATCCTGTTTTATGATTTCAAATGCAGGGAGCGATGTGATGGTTGTGGGTCTCACCCAAATTGGGAGGGTGCATTCAGATGTGGAGACTGCAATTTTACTTTGGATTTCAGATGCTTATCATTACCACGTTCAGTTCTTCACAAATTTGATCAACACAAGCTATACCTCACCTATCATGATGACAATGATTATTCAAAACATCATTATTGTGACATCTGTGAAGGAAAAAGAAATACAAGCCTTTGGTTTATCATTGTTCAATCTGTGATACTTCTGCTCATTCCAATTGTATTCTTGGAGGATTTCCATTTTTCAAGGTGTGGACATTGCATGATTTTGTTTTCGTTCATTAACATTGAGTTTAGTTGTCTGTAGATGTGTGTCACTCCAAATGAAAGGTTTAGAGGTCTTATCGAATCCAAGGAGTTACAAACGAGAAAATTTCGCATTTCATTCCTCCTACTTCGAGGAAAAGGATACTCAAAAACTTTTAGTGAGCTTCATCTATGGTTCTTGGAGTTATTATTGTGTGTTGCTTGATTAATATTTGTGTGATTATGTTTCGGTGTCACTTCCAGTTTGTTTGGATTTGTGTGTTGTTCTCGACCCCACCCTTGACATAGACTGGTTTAATCAAGATTAAGCAATCATGCGACACTCAAACCCTTGTATACTCCCCAAAGCTCTGCATCCAGAACCGAGCAACATCCAATGACTTTCGTAAACCCCATCGACCATTAGAATCCCTTAATACCCCACCACACTGTCACCAAACCAGACGCAGGCTTCCTCACCCCATCAGAGTTCAGTTTGTATGACTCTTTCGGCGGGAGCCTCCAACCAAGCGCACGATGAACACCCGCCGGTCAACCAGCCCTACACGAGCTGTACAACAGCAGAGTAATAACTCCACTCTATGTGGGTATTGTCTTCTATTATTATTGTGAAAAACGATTACCTCTTTACCTTTAAAATTAACTGAATTCCCTCCAGCAAACTAAAACATTCCTCATGTCATCTGCAGAAGGAATTAGTAAATCACAAACTAAAATATTATGCCTGGAAATAATAAAAGACAGCCTGCTTCTTCAAAAATCTTCGGTCATAGCGAAAGTAAAAGTAATTACCTTACAGTTAAGCAAAGCACAAAACTTTAATAAACAAGCATTCTCCAAATATTTTAGCATATCAAGCTTTCAATTTTTCTTTTCATATATATCTTATTTGTTAGGAAATTTAGTCGAGACTTGTTCTTAATTAATCACTTGTGCATTACAATCTCGTAATTGAAGGACTTATGATATCTGTCTATTCAGGAGGATCATAACAAATCCATCACGATGGGTGTTCCGGACGAGCATACCGGGCTCGTTCTTGGTCGTGGTGGAAGAAATATAATGGAAATCGGTCAGGTCTGTAAATGATAAATACATAGCCATTTCGATTCAATAATTTTTGCTTATGTTCTGAATTTGCTCATGTTCAGTCATAGCAAAAACAAGAGTAAAAGTGATTACCTTGCCCTTGCAATTAAGCAAAGCACTAGACTTTAATAAAGAGGGCATTCTTCAAATATTTTAGCATATCAGGCTATCAATTCTTCAAATATTTTATGAGCAAATTTGTTTATAGATTATGGAAAAAGGAAAAAGGGTTATCCTTGCGATTAAGCAAAGTACAATGCTTTAACCAAAGAGAAGAGTGAATTTTTAGGACGCCTTAGCATATCAAGTTCAAATTTTCAATTCAAGTCAGTCTTGTTTGTACCTTACTTGCTACCAATAATGTTAAAAATGCTTTATTTTTTTTCTTTCATTTAATTTCTTTTGTAAGAAATTACTGCTCAGCATTACTCACAAAAACCAACGGAGACGGAGAAGAAGAGAGAGATTAAGCATCGTTTTCATGAGCATCCCTTGGTGTTTGTGAAAGAGCAAAGCAATGAAGGCGAGAAAGCTTACTGCTCAGCTTGTGGGGATGTGATTTCAGATCCATACTTTAGTTGTCCACCCTGCAATTATCACCTTCATAACAACTGTGCCCTCGCGCCTGGTTCAATTTCCGGTCACCCTCTCCATCCGAAGCATTCTGGTTTTTTCCTTCGAGAAAGGCCACGTCCCGGTAATAAGGTATATGGTTGTGCATTATGCAAGGAGAAGCGTAACATGTTCTTTTATGAATGTCAGCTTTGTTACTTTTCCCTTGACATCAAATGTGCTGATTTATCTTCTTCGTTTAGTAAAGTCAACCAAGAGTCCAAACATGACTTCCACCCACATCCATTGACCTTCATTCAAAGTCCCATAGGTAAACTCAAAAGCTTGTATTGCTCTTGCTGCCATGAACCCTTAGTCGGTGCATTATATATTTGTGTTGATTGTCCTCATCTTTCATAAGACATGCGTTGATGGATCCAATAAATTTAAACACCCTTCCCATCCCATACACTCTCTTTTTCTTGAGTCTAATGAGAATTCTCTCTTTTGCAACCTATGTCAAAAGCAACATTCTGGATTCTTTTATTGTTGTTCTGTTTGCGATTTTAGGATCAATATTTTATGTGCTTGGTCGATGCCCATTGTTGAAGATAAAAGCCACCATCAGCACCCATTTACCTTACTTTGGAGGCAAGACTCGTTCATTTGCGATGCATGTGGTACTGAGGGAAACTATATGTCTTATATATGTTCGACATGCAGCATCACAGTCCATAAAGACTGCACTTCACTCCCACGCATTATCAAATTTTCACGACATGATCATTATCTTTTTCACAAATATTTTCTTCAAACACGAGAGCTTACAAAGCAACATTGCAAGATTTGTTTCAAAGAAGTGAAAGTAGAGCGTGGGAGTTACTCTTGTGTGAAGTCCGGTTGCAGTTACATTGTTCACGTGAATTGTGCCTTGGAGGATGACAGATTTTACGAGGTGGTTAAGCGAGAAAGCCAATGCGAGGAGCTTTATGGAAGTTCAGCTAAGTCTTTGCAGTCTTCCATCAATCGTGTTGTTGAGGAGAGTGAAGACGGGGAAGCCACAAAGATTGAACATTTCGGCCATGATGTTCATTGCTTGGTGTTAGTAGACAAGATGGAGGAGGAAGAAACTGATAGAAGATGTGCTGGGTGCATGCTACCTGCCTCAACTCTGTTTTATTATTGTTCTGAATCAGAATGCCATTTCTGTCTTCACAAATATTGTGCTGAGTTGCCAAGAGTAAAGCCTCATTGGTTTCATCGATCTATTGCCATTCTTAACTCTAAAAGCTTCAAATTTTGTGACTTGTGTCGTCGATATTGTAGTGGTTTCTTCTACAAAATTAGAGGATTCGACGTCTGTTTAAGGTGTGCTAAAATTCCAGATATCATTGAAGAATTTCAAGGACACCAACACTTCCTGTTTTATGATTCCAAATGCAGGGAGCGATGTAATGGTTGTGGCAACAACCACAGTCCGTATGGCGCATTCAAATGTGGAAAGTGCAGTTTTGTTTTGGATTTCAAATGCTTAACATTACCACATTCAGTTCTTCACAAATTTGATCAACACAAGCTAAACCTTAGCTATCATGACGACAATGATTATTCAAAGCATCTTCGTTGTGACATCTGTGAAGAAAAAAGAGATCCAAGCCTATGGTATTATCATTGTTCGATATGTGATACTTCTGCTCATCCCAATTGTATTCTTGGAGAATTTCCATTTCTTAAGGATGGGATCACTTTGCCTTCTTTTTTGAATCCACGTCATCATCATGATCTTCAGTTTCTTAGGAAGGCTGAGGACTACCCTAATTGCTCATCCTGTGGTCAGCGTTGCCGAAGAGAAATTCTCAAGTGTACAAAATCTACATGCAACTATATTATTCACTTGAAATGCGTTTGGTAGATTCTAAAATGTTCTGGTAAGTTCTTTAGATAATTAAAGAGCCATTATTCTCGTCAATTACCATTGATTGTTGACATAGCATGATTTACTAACTTTAGTTTTAATTGTCTTTATGGTTGTAGATGTATTTCACTCAAAATGAAAGGTTTAGAAGTCTTATTAAATCCAAGGAGTTCACAAACGGTTTCGCAGTTCGTTCCTACTACTTCAATGAAAGGATACTCCAAACTTTCAATGAGCTTTGTCTGTGATTGTGAGTGTTACTGTTGTGAGTTGCTTGATCAATGGATTTGTGTGATTATGTTTCAATGTCATTGTGGGGTTGGTTTGGATTTGTGTGATTATGTTTCAATGTCACTGTGGAGTTTGTTTAAGATTTGTTTGAATTTGTATGATTTGATTTCAGTGTTAATTTGAGGATATTCTTTTAAGACTTACACAGTTTGTATTACACATTCAACCTACAAATGTATCAAAAAGGGAAGTTTCATATGAACGTATTATACAGAAACAACCGTGTTTCGGAACACAGAAATTAGATGTAAACTCAAACTCACTCGGTCACTCTTGTATGCGCATCTTCACATTAAGCTTCATTTCCTTGTAGGACTGGACCTTCTTGACTGCTCGTCGTAAAGGCCTTCCTGCAGACACCCTCCTGAGTTCTTGTGCTTCAGTTCTAGATGAAACTGTCGTATTTCCTTCTTTGTGTTCGCTTTTGATCGATGAATCGTCAGATGACAGTTGGCCACTGTCGGGCACCTGATCATTGCTAGTCGAAGAAACGAGAAATCTCAATTCGTCTACCTCAAACACATCTTTATTCGTTTCTGGTTCTTGTGCTTTAAACCTAGCAGATTGCCTTCTTAAACACGCCCTGCAAGAAAAAAAAACCCCACATATTTTCCCTTTATCATCGTGAAATTTTCAACAACAAAAAAAAAACTAAAGATGAATCAGAATGATTTGCACTGAGCAATAAGAAATGTGCATAAAAAAAAAACCTTGTGTTGTCAATCCCCTCCTTAGATTGGACTGGTTTGATACAAGGGCCGCTCTCATACATCTTATCATCACTGGTTGAAGAAACAAGAAATCTCGTTTTATCTACCACAAATACGTCTTAAGTTGCTTCTGGTTCTCGGCCTTTATGCCTAACAGATTGTCTTCTTGAACATAACTTGCTGAATAAAACATAAAGGAAACCATAAATTTCCTTTTTCATTAAGAAGTTTTCAAATAAAAAAACTAACGATGGTTGGAAATAATTCGCACTAATGAATAAGAAATGGAAAAAAACCCTTTTATTTTTTATCCTCACCTTGGCTTCGAATGGTTTGATATTGGAAGGGCCACACTCAAGAACCTTATCATCACTGGTAGAAGAAGCAAGAAATTTTGAATCATCTACCACAAATGTGTCTTCAGTTGTTTCTGGTTCTTGTGCTTTACGCCTAGCAGATTGCCTTCTTAAACAAACCCTGCTTAGAAAACATAGAAGAAACCATAAATCTCCTTACTAGTTTTGAAGAACTAAGGAATACACACCTCTGTTAGGAAATTAATTTGCACAAAGCAATAAAAATGTACAAGCACCTTTTATTCTCTACCCCCTCCTTGACTTGGACTGGTTGAATATTAGAAGGGCCTGAAGCAGCATGAAAATGATAAATTACAATGGCATGATGAACGGTAATAATTTTCAACTAAAGCTTCTGTCAAGCAAATTACCAAGACAGTATGACTGCCTCTTTCTGTTCATGTTACAAGGTTTATCTTCTCCTTGATCTTCTTCATGCGATTCATCTGCCTTGCTACACCTGTTCATATTACAAGGTTTACCTTCTCCAGCTTCTTTATGTGATTCAACTTCCTTGCCACACTTTTTTTTTAAAAGAAAGAAATAACTTATATTCCAATAGCATCAATGATAACAAGTTGCTTAATACACTCAGGTTCATCCAAGAAAAACCAAACAGGATTGTGGTTCGATAAGGCCCATTGAGCCAGCGTGTGTGCCACTCTATTCGTTTCCCTACAGACATAGTGAACTTTGAAAGAAGGATTAGCCTTTAGAAGGGAACGAGCCTCATTGAGCAACAATCCGATAGTAGAGAGGTCCTGGGTCTTGTTCAGAGTTCGATTAGCCAATCTGTTCACCACCAAGATAGCATCTCCTTCAATTATCACATTGTTCCATCCATTCTTGACAGCAAGTCGAACTCCCTGTGAAAACGCATAAGCTTCCTTGCCACACTTGTTTGTTCCAAACTTCAAAGCATTGAAAAAGATGTGTGAATAACTGGTGATGTTGATAAAAAAATCAATATAGACATTGTATTTCTATTTAATGCTTCATTTCAAAGTGTTGGGCAACCCCCATTTTTTAGCTCTCTTCAGGCGGTAAACACAAAGGATCCAATAATCAGCAATGGAAACTAATTATATAACGAGTGTCAGCACTTAGATGATGTAGATACTACAAAAAGTACCTCCAATTTCATTGCTGCACAGGATTTTTACATCCCGGCTCATGCTTGAGGGCTTTTAGCTGAAAACAAAATGAACTCAATGGTCAAGTCCCAAAAATATATAAAAGAACTACGCAAGATGAAGTTCAAGAAACTTTTATGGCCTCAAAACTTACCCTATCTTTGTTTAAATTAAGTTCCAGCAAAACCAATGTAAGACATCAACCTCACCAGAAGATCACAATATTATAAAAATATGCCCCCAAGTGTTTTAAACTAAGAAACAGATAGTTACTAAAAAATGTAATAAGGTACCGCTAACATCTGGCTGTTTGCTTGTGCAAGTTGCAAGTTCTGTTGCTGAAACTTCTCCAAATTGATTCTCAGTTTCTGTAATTCAATCCCACTCAATTTGATAACTTTACCCGCCAAAATTAAGGTAAAAGAAGGAAACATAAAAAGGAAAACCATCAAACACAAATACTAGCAAGCAATGGTTAGAAGAGGAAGGAAAAGAAATGAATACAATCGATCATAGAGGATACTTTCGATCTGCAAGAACTTCATCAGCATCATATTTTCCTCAGACAAATTCAATAAGTAAAAGAAATAAAAGCAAGTTGATAGCTATTCGAAGTATACCTGTTGAAGCTTGTCGATGAATTCTTTAGTACATGTCATAACGTCTCCCTCGGGAATTGTAAGACTTAAAAAATATTTAATTTGGCGGAGGGGATGAAATATAATTTTGAGAACAATTTGACTTTAAAGTCGTCACCAACCATTAAGTTAGGTAGATCGGAAATTTAAAAAATGGTATGCGTTTTATAAAAAAATTATTTTTAAGAGTTCGGGAGTCGATTCCGTATGGAGAAGGGTGAACACCCTTATAATGCCCAAATTTTTAGACTGTGGATGAATATATGATTTGAATCGATGGGTTTTGAAATGATTCGTTATGATAAGATTAATATTTTAAAAAGGAGTGGAGTTCGAGTTGAGTTAATTTAAATTTATATTAAAAAATAATTGATTTTAGTCATAGATATTAACATGACTATACCTTATATATTTAAAATAATTCTAATAATATATCTTAATTTTTTAATTATATCTCTTTTTACTAAATAGATATTTAATTTTAATGGTTTTATACACAAAAATTTAGAATATTGCATTAGCCACCTGCCTGTCTTGCCTCAAAGAAATAGAATATGAGGATCAAGGTCTGTTCACTAAATGACACGTTAGCATTCTATTATATATAGATCGTCTTAGCAAGTTAAGTTGATGGTTAGATGATTAATAATTTAAAAGAATGTCAATAATCAGTTGGTATAATGGGACGAGACATTAGGTCCCTTAATTAAGGTTAGAGTTTCGAATCTTGACGTTTGTGAATATACTAATCTTGGTTGAGAGGATCGCACTCGCCTCTGCAGTACTTGATCTGGATTAATTGATCAATAGATCGAACACAAATGATTAATTCAAAAAAATGACTCAAAATAAAATATTGATGATTAAAGTGCCTTAAAACACAAAAATTGAAATGATTATTCATATAAAATTATGGGTTTCTCAAAAAAAAATATAAAGTTACGGTGAACTTTAATTATTAAGATAATGCGATTATCATTAAATATTATTATTTTAGTAAATATTTTATTATATTTGTTAAAATAATAATAAATTTTTTATAAGTTGAAGATTAAATTTAACCAAAAAATGATTTTAATAAAATATATGTTAAAATAATTTTATATCTAACATTCAATCTAAGTAAATCATTAATAAAAAAATCTAAGTAAATCAAATATAATAATACACAAAATAATCTAACACTCCAACAATAATCTTATAAAAATACATTACCTTGGCACGAATCAAGTGGTCTCCATGATAAATGAATTGTTGTTATTCCTTGAGTACACGAGTTCGAGCACTGTTGATGTTATGGGTGTGAGCATTCGATGTAAAAGATTAAGATATATCGTTGAACATATATTATCTTATACTTACTCCAAATTAATAAGAAAATACATTACCTCATCGTTGACTAAATAAATTTGAGTAAATTACGTATTTAATATTTAAATTATTAATTTTAATTCGTATTAAAATAAATTAATAATTAATAATTAAGATATTAAACGTATAATTTACTCGATAAATTTTGTTATCATCCATCCCATGCATACTGCATTGCTTCATTTTTATCTTGGATCTTTCCTGCTGGATTGAGCTTTTCGAGACTTTTGCAGAGTTAAAAACCAATGTTATTAAAATCGGACTGAATCGGCCGGTTCAACCAGTTGAACCGTAAATCGGTGGCCTGTCCGATCCGGTTAACTCCCAAAACCAGATTAGCATAGAACTGTTAAAGAACCAGAAGAACCGATTGAAAATCAAAAAAATCGGAGTGAACCGACTGAAAACCGGCAAAACTGGTTTAAACCGTCGGTTCACTTTTTTTCTTTTAAAAAAAATTAAACCAAACAACGTCGTTTGTTCAACGAGCCGAGTCAAATTCGAGTATTGCTGAGCTCGACTCGAACTCGAAAACTTTAAAAGTAAGCTCAACTCGACTCAAAAACTCACAAGCTAAAAATTATCAACTCGAAATATAATATTAAAACTTGAAATCGAAAATGCTCAAACTCAAAAAAAAATTTAGAAGTTCGATTGAAGCCTAAAATTTGAGCTCAATTGAAGCCTAAAATTTGAGCTCAATTGAAGCGAAAGAATAGTTCGCTTTGTGCTCACCAAAAAGCTCCATAATTTTGAATGTCAAATTACCTCTATTATTTATAGAAGTAAGTTGGGATGCTCTTCTATATTTCTTAGCCATGTGGGATTGTTTTGTTCTCATATTTTTACTCTTTAAACTTTTGGGATACTCTTCTATGTTTATTAGTAATGTGAGATTGTTTTTTTAAAATAATTAAACCAAATGACATCATTTGTTATAATTTTTTTAAACCCTAATTTTATTTTTTTGATTATAATTATATAATTATATTTATTATTTAATATGTTTTACCTTAAATATTATGTTGTAGTTGATTTGAATCATTTTGTTTTACTTGATTTTATAGTTTTTCATTTATACATGTTATGACTTGTGATATTTTTATATCTTTTAATATTGTAAACTTAAAAAAAGTGTTACATATATATTAATATTGCTTTTAATATTATGTAAAATTAAAAAAATATATTATTTTATATAAAATCTGATTTAACCGCGGTTAAACCCGGTTAAACCATTGAACCAGTAAATCAGTACCTTCACCGATTCAATGTTCGGTCCGATTTTAAAAACATTGTTAAAAACAGAGGGAAACAGACAGATCAGAGAAGGTTTACTTTTCCATAACATAAAACAGTAAAAAGTAATTAAGAAAGAGAACCTTTCTTTAACTTTTTGCTTAAATTATTGTTTCTTTAGGGTAAAGTACACCAAAGGCTACTTAATTATGTCCGAATAGATTGTTTTAACCATCAAATTTTTAAACATTATAAAATGAATATTAAATTTATCAAATTATTATAAAATAATTATTAAATTTTATTAAATAATTACACCATGATCATTAAATTTATCCAAATTTTATAATATTATAATAAATTGAATGATTATTTTATAAATTTTAAGAATTAAGTGATCAAAAATTATTTAAACATTGTTCAACGACTTCTAGTACATTTTACCCATTTTTTATTATATAGATCACTTCAAATTTTCTAACAATTTGCAGTCTCCTAAGTTGTGTTTTTTGTGCTTTTGAACATAAAATCATTAAGCATGTAAGCTAACCGAACCGATATGAACGGATGTATGTATGTATATTCACGTTCGTTCGTTTAATTTTAATTGAATAAATAAAAGAATATGAATATAAATGAATAAATTTTTTTTTCTGATTTGTTCTCTAAGGAATATAGTTTGTTCGTATTCATTCATTTAAGTGATAAACGAACATAAATAAATATATATAAATGAATATAAACGAACATAATAAATTAACATAATCGAACATAAATAAAAATAATTTTTTTTTCTTTACTAACAATTTTAGAATAATATTATATTTAATTATTTTAAATTTTTTTATTTATATTTAACATAAACGAACATAAATGAATTTTTCGTCAAACGATTCATAAACAGTTCTTGAAAATGAAAAAAAAACTGGATATATTGTTTAAACAAAACTGGAAAAAAAAAGCCCAAACTTTCTTTGCCATTTGAGTTGCTCCCTTTCACTTCCAAGATGCTCCCTTTCGCCTACATTCTCTGGATATGCATCTTGGGTTCAATTCCCTCATTTTCAAGAGCTGCCTTCAATCTCAGCCTCCCTCATCAGCACCTTGACCCTGAATCTGTTGCTCTTGATGTTCAACGGTAAGCTATTTTCACTTCCAATGGGTTCTCTCATGAATTTTCTCCAGAAACAAACACACATTTTAGTGTTTTATAACCCCCAAATCTTAACTTTTTTTTTGTTTTGCTCTTGGATATTTCAAGATCTTTGCTTTTGCTGATGTAAACCCACCAGTTTTAGTGTTTTCTGGTTGCCAAATTTGGATTTTCAGCTCAAAATCTTGATTTTCTCGAGGATTCTGTGGGAAAATCTGTGTTTTTACTCTTGATTTTACTAAAAATCTTCGCTTTTTGTGCTTGTAGGAGCTTAAATGCATCCTTATCTAGAAGACGAGCCTTGTCCGTACACGAAAAAGGCCAATGCCGGACCGGAAACCCCATCGACGATTGCTGGAGATGCGACCCAGATTGGTACAACAACCGCCAACGCTTAGCCGACTGCTCAATCGGCTTCGCCCGAGGCACGCTCGGCGGTAAAGGCGGCCGGATCTACACCGTCACCGACTCGTCCGACCACGACACCGTCAACCCCAAACCGGGCACGCTCCGACACGCCGTCATCCAAGACGAGCCGCTGTGGATCGTTTTCTCGACAAACATGGTCATCAAGCTCAAGCACGAGCTCATCTTCAACTCTTACAAGA